AAACGCTTCACTCGGGGCCGACTCTAGTGATTTTACAAAGCGTGGAGCTGCCTGCTCTTGAACACTCCGATAACACAGCCCGCCTGGACTGTTGTGTCGACCGCGATTCCACGCTTAGCCGCCTAGCCATTTCCGGCAAGCGCAGTGCGCTGTTCACTGCTCAGGTTCCACATGGATATCAGTCTGGACTTAGATGTTCCAACTACGTAATACTGTCTCTACTTGATGCCCGCGCCATCTGGAGTACCGACACAAACTTTTATTGACCTCAGCCGTCGGGAGCGGAACGAATCCGCCAAGCGAACTCTTTACAGCTGGGGTACCCGAGCAGCCGCATCGTCTCCCTAGCTCGGCGAACACACGTCTTGTCGCATCATGTCGCGAGTCCGTATCTGCGGAAACGACTTCTCAGACCCCGATCAAACTCCAGAAACCTCTCGGGGCAACGTTGGCTCCTGCTGACATCCTGTGGGGTCGGCGCGGGCTGTTGTTGAGAAACGGCCCCATGCCCTAGGCGCGGCCTGGTTGTCATTTCGATTAAAGACGCCACCAAAAGGGGATGATTTTGCGATTGCAACTCAGCTCCGCCGCCTTATGTGGGCCTGAAGTTTACTGATGGTCATTTGATCGAGTGTCTCAAGAGATGGAAGACAATGAGCTTATGTTTCGTCATGTCTTGTAGCAGGTGTGGTAAGGCCATCATAGCATCGCGTGTACTTTCCGTCATACACACCGTTCTTCCCGCGATGGGAAAATGCTGTGCTGAGGCTCTGGCGCTCAGCTCGATCCCTGCCACGGGGTACGGGTCGGGCTCTAGGCTCGTCAATCCTTCGCTTACTTCCCTTCAGCTGCTAACGCGAAGTATGCACAAGCTTCTGACATGCCACCAAAATACATCACATATCGCAAGCCACCATAGGGCAGAGGGTCTACCATACCCCATTCGATCACGCGCTGTGTTGGATTGGTGGGTGTTGTATGCGGTGTCTTCCTGCGGTGTCACCGATCAGGTAACGCCTCGTTCAGGCGTTCCTTGTGCGTGCTTGGAGACATGGAGATACATGTTTGTCGGAGTCCGTGTGCTGTTCATCGCTGAAGTAGCTGCTCTTTGCCCCGTTCTTTGCGATCTCCACTGTCTTCTTTCTAGTGTCGGCTGCGTTTACTCTTGCTTGATCTCGTCTTTGCTTTTGCGCCGTTGGGTTCGCAATAATACACTTCCCTTGGACAGACATATCCAAAGGCTTCATTAATATAGGACGTACCCTCAGCATGTCTAACTCATCATTCTACGACTTTCACTGCCCGACCGGAGGCAAGTGGTAAGGAAGATCTCAGACTTCAGAGCGGCGCAGATACTGACAGACTATAGGTATGCTTGCTCTACTGGAAGCAAATTCGTCGGTTGCTGCGGAGCTGATCCTTGTGTCAACGGCTGCCAGCAAGGAAACATCCGTGCCGGTGGCTACAACATCTCACATTATGGCGAATGGCCAGGCGCTTCTTGTGCACAAGGCAGCGCTTTCTACACATGCAACGCAGGAGACTCTTTCTGGGGATGCTGCAAGACAAATCCATGCGCAGCGACCCCACCGGCTACATGCACCTCGGGAGACCTAACACCTGCCTTCATGGGTCTGCCAGAACAATTCAGCTTTTATGCCTCAGATGTCTCGAGCCCAACCCCAAGCGAAACATCAACTGGAAGCCCCTCGAAGAGTAATACTGGTGCCATCGTTGGTGGAGTTGTCGGAGGTGTCGCCGCTCTTGCCATCATCGGACTGATTGCCTTCTTTATCCTCCGCAAAAGACGCAACAAGAAGTCTACCGAAGGCGAAATGGGCGCAGCAGCCATGGTCCCAATGATGAACAACGAGAAGCATGACCACAACAGGCACTCATCACATTTCGACGGCCAATCACGTACGTTCTCGTTATTGATCCATCCCATAGTATGCTAACATCCCCGATAGCACCTCCTACATATACCTCTCCTGTCCAAGATCCTTACCAACAAAACTACCCAACCAAGGGCCAGCAATCATACGTCCAATACGCCAGCCATGCGAGCGAACCCCAAGAGCTCCCGGCAGAGGTCTCTTCGTCCAACCGATACTCCGAACTTCCCGCCGGCGCATCGGATGTTGTAGACACTCGGCGATTCTCCGAACTTCCTGCCGAGGCACGGCCTGGTCCTTCTGAGCTGGAGTCACCACAGATTTCACCTATGCCGGTGCAAGGCGCGTTCTCCAACGACAAGACGAAGCGAGCGAGCCGAGTTCAAGGGTTGGGCGTAATGACCGAGGAATCATCGTCGTCCAGAAACTAGTTGCGAAACGACAGTCACATTTGATTGACGATGATTTACACTCGATCCATGCTGTTGTAACTGGGAGGTTCCATTGTAATCTGTATTCGCATATCATACCCATTCTTATCGACCAAATGCATAATTACCACCTGGGCATCTAACAATAGCGATGTTGGAAACATAGAGAATCGATTTTGGGGTGTATTGAAATTGCACGTCTCCTTTCTTCAAACAAGGCCGCTCCTGGGCTTACTCTTACCTAATCCCACGTGCAGCCAAAACGAGCCGCATTTAGAACACGAAGACCGCCTTCCACTTCGCATCGTCTACGCAGCCTTTTCGCAACTGTTCCAATATTTGTAATCATCTTGCTTCCCCGCGGCACGCAACGTGGTAGTTCGTACTATCGGAGTGTGCAATCCACAATCCCGGTCCTGATGTCACTTGTTCCACGATGGGGCATCTCATCGCGCGCGCACAACCACGCGGCAGCCACTGACTGAGGTAACCCGACGGTCCTTCACGCGACATCACCCCTCCATCACAACCATCAGCCCCAAGATCTGCCCACCTCCAGTCCTGCAAGCACTGCCCCTATAGCACCATCCGTCAGCGTTGCGCGCCGTTGCGGCGGCCATGCATGTAGCACGGCAGTGCTGCGAACATAGGCATGACATCACCCGAGTAATACCGCCCCTATTGAATGACCGCATGCGCATTTTTTCTCGGCATTTTCGCCCTGAAAGATTGCAGAAAAAGATGCAGCGAGTGAGCAGTTCGGCTAAGAGTAGCATCTTACTGCAATGATGGCTGAGCCGCAGGGCGGCGTTTGGGTCGAAGTATGTGCTCTTGGGGTCCGGATCAGACTCCAGTGTTCAGGTGTAATTTCCTGGTGGCCTTTACTCTCTGCCGTTGGGTTCGTAGTTTGAAGGTCATTGATTTTGCTGCTCGTTGGTCGTACTTGCTTTCAAGATTTTCTATACAGGCCCCAGCCTCATTACCCCAAATTATGTCGCCCAGTTTCGCTGAGCGACAGGTCTTCTCACCATCTTGCCCCGCTGGCGGTACGTGGTGGTCGTGCGGCTACGGAACGTAAGTTGAAAAGTTTACTTGTCATGCTTCCAGAAACTAACCCAGTCCCAGTTTCTTCGTTGGCTGTTGCGCAAGAGATCCATGCGAAATCACCTGTGCACAAGGGAACCTGTACCCCGGTGCCTTTGATCCAACATCATATGGAGATTTTCCGGACGCTACGTGTGGCACTGGGAGTAAATTCTACACTTGCGCTGCTGACAGTAAGTCAAAAAGCATCGTTAGGCTTTGGGTCTATCGAAGCTTCTTTAGTCAACTAGCGAACAAATCGTATCTTTTGAACGCCATATTAACATAGTGTAGAAACTTTCTGGGGATGCTGTAAAACGAATGCATGCGCCCAGTCCGGTTGTCCAGATGGTGATCTTGAACCGGCAATACTCAATCGCGACGATTTACTCAGCGCTTACCATGCGACTGGTGGTTTGAAGACAGACTCGAGCCCATCACCAACATCCGCTTCCAACAATTACGCATCAGTCACATTAGCGAACGTAGCCACGACGTCAGCTACATCAACATCGAGCACGATATCCCCGTCGAACACTGCCTCCGTTGCAACCGAAGAGAAACTACCCGTCGCGGCTATAGCAGGTGGTGCAGCAGGAGGCACCTTCGCACTCGCCATAATTGCCGGATTCGTAATCTGGTTCCTATGTTCCAGGAAAAGGAAAGCCAAGACCTGTGAGAAAGAGGATGGAGCAGAGCAAAGTCTAGATATCCTACCCATATGCGTCATGGCAGAGAATCGGCAGCCAGAGTCGACCGATTGTAAGTTCACCGGAATCGATCCCTCCAATGATATCCAAACAAATGTGTCTGTCTAACACAAGGAACAGCACCACCATCCTACACCCCACCCACCCCAGGCGTCAACAATACTATCTACAGTCCCTTGTCCCCTCTCGGTCACCACCCTCCCTCCTCAGTCTACTCACAGGACACAAATTTCGCAGCATACGCACCCCGCGATCCGAACTATGCCATCGAGAACCCCACTCACTACGACCATCACCACCAAACCTACCCACATATATGGCAATCACCACCCCAAGAACTGCCACTCACAACTATCTCAACGTCCTTCCCCACATCAGCGCTAACCAAAGCTCGTAATTCCATGTACGGAGATGTTAGGGGGCCATCTGAACTGCCGGGTGATGACGTAAGGAGCGAGCTAGATAGTGCAGGGCCGGAGTCGCCGGTTTTGGGAGGGATGTGGAAGGGTGGTGGTGAACGTGGGACTCAACGACAGGGTTGGATGGCACCGAGGGACTGGGGGTTGCAGGACATGCACGAGGATAGAAATGTTGTGGAACAAGAGATGTCTGTGGATAGAAAAGGGGAAGGAGAGGGAGATATTGGAGCGCAAAGACTGGGTGTGTTGGATGCGATTGATGAAGAAGTAGACGGGAGGGGTGGGATACATGGGCGAAATTTTGAGATGAGGGACGTTAGAGGGAGAAAAGAGGAGGGCGGGTTTTTCTGAGGAATGTAACTTTCTTTTAACCATGCACGTCCCGTCTGATAATCTCATGATTCGGCTCCTGCTCATAGTCACAGCGAGCGATGCGCAACTTGTGCATCCAAACCCCCAGTCTTAGAAAACCGTCCCATCACTCAAAATGACAACCGGACTACTCTTCGTCTGGGGCCTCTTCTCCTTAGCCACTTCCCTCCCCGCCTTCCACGTGCCCGCTTCGAGCAACTGCGCCATGCTCAGCTCAACCCCCTGCATCCTCTCAAGCACCAACTTATACAGCTTATCCACCAAAACGAGCGTCATAGCCCGCCACTCAACGATAGCATCATCGCCGGCAGCAAAAGACGGAAGTCCACTTCCATCCGACGTAGCTTTGAGTCCTCGCTCCAAAGACGCGGGTTTGAGTGTTAAAACGCCTAGGTCAACAAACAGACCACCATTACGGTATTCGGGGAGGGCGGTCATGGCGGACATGTTCTTCCAAGATAGGGAGAGGATGCGGGTGAAGGGCACGGTGAGAGAGTAGGCCAGCCATTGGGTGAGTTTGTGGAAAGGTTGGATGAAGGTGCTTTCGTCTGCGTTGGCATCTTTGGATTGCGTCTTTAGTGTAGACAAGGGCCATGCGTCGCCAAGGGCTTGTCCGTTTACCACTGTGCGGTCTTGCGGCCAGATAGGGATTAGCAGGTTTTGGAGGACGTCCCAGAAGGTGAGGATGTCGAGGGTTGAAGGGTCAGAGGTGGTGGTCTTCATGTAGTCTGTTTTGGGCCATTAGTGGTTGGTGTGGTAGTTTGGAGGGTGATGAACATACCAACGACGTTTCCAGGACGGCCTTGCTCGCCGAAGATGGCGGGTTGGGAGAGAAGAGATTTTCCTAGACTGCGGAGGAGGTTGGCTCGGGAGTCGACGCCTAGCATGGGGTTGCTGGAGGAGATTTGGAAGCCTTCTGCGAGGGCTTCTGTCTTTAGGTCCTGCAGTCCTTTTCCTGTACGCAGCACCGTCAGCTACCTCGTTCAAAACCCTAGCATGCAAACGGATACTTACCATCAACGATCGGCCCCCCGTCCTTCTTCGCAGCAAATCCCAAACTCTTGAACATGTACAAACTCGCTACTGCAATACCCTCACTCCTCTCATACTCCTTTCCCGCACCAGGTTCCACATATCGCCAATGGTCCCCAGCGCCAGCATCCAGCAATACCGAAACAAAGAAGAGATCGATCAGCCGACGCGTAATTTCAAGTTCGTCGCACCCATGCTTTTTCCATTCATCGAGGAGGTCGGCAATGCGGGGAACGCCGCCAACTTCAAAGTGCTGCCAGCGGCCGTGAGGTGGGATGGTGTGGAATTTGTCGGGACCAAAGTCGCGCTTGTGAGTTTTAGATCAGCGTTTCCATGACACAGTTTTATAGAATTGAAGAACAAACCTTGATGACAGAAGTCACATAATCCGCTGCTTCGCCCAGACGTTCCTCGTGCACATCAAAGTGACTCAGCTTGCCTGCTTCAGCAGCCTCTCCTACGATCTTAGCACGCTCTCGCACCGCGGAAAGGGAAAGTAGGTATTTAACTTTGTCGTCCATGTTTGTGTTGCTCAAGGATGAAGAGAAGTTTGTAGGTCTCTGGTATGTCGAGGAGTAGGTGTTGTCAGGCAAGTGGGGTTTAGCGCCGCACTACACCGCTTGCACTGGCCCGAATTAGGTAGTTATGTGCTACGAGGACCACTTTTACGGAAGCATCTCGTGACTATGATAAGGGCGTCGGCGTTTGCCGACGATTATCTTCTGTGAATAAGACGTGCTGACGACGATGATTTCGTTTGCTTGACGATGCGCGCAAAGATGGTTGTGTACAACAAATGAGTTGAGAATTGAGAATATACATTTCATTATGGGTTTTCGTCATCAGTTCGCTGGGCGGCGCAGCCAAGCTTAGGATAATAGCCGCTGTGTCCATGTCTACGAATCTCGGAGAGGAGTTAGCTATACACTCCCTTCTCCTGCCAACTCTTCAGCTAGTGTTCTTATGCGACAATGTCGTGGTTGCACCGTTCCATACCCTGCCCAATGTCCGACACCGTCTCCTGCTCGTAACAACCACAAAGCCGCGTAAACAAATGCGTCCTTTTGGTCGCGAAAAAGAAACAATAGAATCAGACCTCCCTAACTATAGAGGCCGAACAGCCCGACGAGCAGCTACTGCCATCAATATGCATCAGCGCCCCACCGAGATGAAGGTAGCCGGCAAAGGAAGAGAGAAAATGTAGAGAGGAGCCTGGTATCCCAGATGCAAGCGCGCTGGAGCAAGATACGATCGAAGACTCGCCCAAAGTTACCCGAAGGTGAAATAAGTGAACCTCAAATAATTGGTACACCAACGCTTTCCGATGGCATGCCATGCGCAAGAGGTATCAAATCCAGGAATTGCCAGAGACGAAGGAAACCCAAAAGCAGGTGCCACAGAGACCCAGGACTGCTTTTGAAGTGGTATGTTGAGACTAAAGGAAATACCGTGGTATCGGATGCGGCGTTGGTCATTAATGTAAGATCAATAGAGGCGTAGAAAGGTATTAGTGAAATCAATCGTCGCTGTTGAGTGATCGCCCGGGATCGCTCGTCTGTGGTGTGCGCAGCTGGGAGGAGCTACCAAAGCTAGACAACTGCTTCTCGGGCTCCTTATGGCTGTTGGGCTTTCGTTTGAAGAAGCTCATAATCTTCCCCGTCGTTGTCTTCCTGCCGGGGCTAGAGCATGTAGGCGAGGTAGTCGTCGAGTCGCTGTTCGGAGGAGGCACCAGTGAGTCCGGCATCACTTCCCTCGACGGAGCACGTCCGTCCGCGTCGCCGTTCCTAACATCCCGAGGGCGTCGCTTGGTGCTCACGTGTCGCCACCAGCTCGAGTCGCGCGACACATCTGAGCGTGTGGCGTTACTGTCAGCACTCAATTTGTTGCCGGTGTCCCATTGCTGCAGCTTTGAGCCATCGAAGTTTCCGTTTGTCGCCTGCGAGAGATCGACCTGGGAGTGGCTTTGTGACGATGGCTGTTGCGCGGGGTAAGGGTCGAGAACTTTTCCATAATTAGCTCATATGCCATGACGGGTCTGAAGTGATGTTTACTCACCTTGACTACGCCTGGCCTGGGAAGGAGCTGTGACTGGCCTAACACCAAGAGACTCCCTCTCCTTCTTTGGTGACGAAGACCTCGTCAAAGTGTCCTTGCGATCAGTCTTTGACCGATCGTCAGAACCTGAAGCTTGCCCTTTCTGTTCGGACGAGTTTGGTGTCTGAGTCACCAGGATCGCAGTGAGGCTGGGGTCTCTACTTCCTCGTCTCGACGAAGTGGCATTCTCAGCAGAACTCATGGCTCTTTGGCCAGGAACAGCGGTCGTCGAAGATCGCCTTGAACTTTTGTCAATAATCGAAGAGGATCTTCGTGATTCAGCTGTCGCAGCTTGAATGGAGCGTATGGAGCCTGTCGATCCTCGTCGAGCCGCTTCTTCGGGAGAAATGGTCTTAATGGCACTCAGAGGTATCTTTATAGCGGGCTTGCTAGGCCCTCCAGACAAAGGACTTGGGCTCGGATCGACGGTGAAACCAGATGATAGGTAACCAAGATTCATACTCTTGCTTTTCCTTTTTCTCTGTCGTTCTTCATCGATCTTGCTCTCCCAAACACCCTTATTGATCAGGATCTCGTCGACAGCAAAGCGCATCGCCGGTAAGATGTCCGTGACGGCTTCGAAGAGCGGCCGGGCGAAGATGTTCATGAAACCGATCTGGGATTCGCCAAGTTTGATGACGTCTTCCCGAACAGGTGGGCCACCAAACAGACATGATGGCATAGCCAGCTCCTCTTCCATGAGTCCTTGGTTGCTAAATTCGTCCGTCAGGATGTTGGCCCACCTGGCAGCGGTGTCAAATTTGCGAGCCTAAAGTATGTCAGCTTGCAGTGCGCCAGAAAGACAAGAACTCAAAACATACCACGTTGCAGATATCTGCGCACTTGATGAGCAGTCCACATGTCAGGTCCTTTTGTTCTTCCTGTACTTTGGCACTCCATCCGTCGACCACGCCCTTGTCATGCGCAACCTTCTGCTGCAGGTTACCCAAGTCGCTCATGTACTTGAAATGGAGGCCCATGTCTGTCGCAAGTATATTGTTGATCATGAGCTTGCGCATCGCAGCATCATTGAATGCGCTCGGCCAATAACGGCGTAATATTTGGGAGTAAGCAGCGCAGTGGAAAGATTCTAGGACGGATCGATCGTTGTACAATTGCGCTAGCGGTGCGTTCAATGCGACTAGAAAAGCGTTGTTGACTCCTGGATGGCCAACATCATGTCCAATGGCGGATATCAGAAGGGTAAGCGCGTCAAAGGGCTTGAGGAGCTCAGCGATTGGCGATTTCGGGGTGGATGTGTTGGACGAATCCGAAGGATAAGGAGGCAGGGTGCCAATTCGGACGAGGAAGTGGAAGAGAGCCTGGAGCACGTCGACTACGTGACGGAAGTTGTGGTACTTGACGAACTCGTTGTAGGCAGTACGGCTGGCCAAGAGAAAGACGATCATCTCGTCTACGAATAGGTCAGCAAGTAGCAGGTTTCTGGCATAAGCCGCACTTGCCTTCGGTTATCGCCCATCTTTCTAATTCGGGCATTTGTAGTGCATGCTTGAGCATGACGAAAGCGCCATAGAGAAGCTCGTCATCGGTGTAGTCGTGCGCGGAGAAGGCCCAAGTACCGATGGCAGCTTCAACGACGATTTGGCGATCTACGTCGAGATGGAAGTCCCTACTCAAGTCAGCGGCGGGTCGCATAGTCACCGTTTGTACATACGTAGATTCCAGCGAGTCGCCTACTGTCTCTGGATTACAGATGCCAGTCATGAGATTCGACACCATCGCCTCACGCAGATATGCGTAAGGTTTTGTGTCGTCTACTCCGACCCAAGACAGCTTCCGATTGCGCTTAGTAGTCAGAAAGCTTGCTTCTTCTCGAGAGAACTCCTTCTGTAACCGATAGGCATGGACGGCTAAGCCAAGCATGCGATCCCTTGACATTGGACTCGTCAGGACGTCAACAGCGCCGGCATCCAGGTATCGCGTCAACCGAACAGTATCGCCGAGCGAGAAAGATACTTGTAGGCCTGGCGAGGGCAGCGGACCAGCTGAGGACGGCTCTTCGGTGCCCAGACCCGACAACATGACCACAGGTACGACGAGTTTGGAGAAGTTCCGCGACGAGATCTCGGAGGATATGTGGGTGAGTAGGTGCATGGCGTATATATCGTCGGGTTCGCTCGTATCTAAACGTGTGAGGCGCGAGGATGTGGGCGAGGGCGTGCGCGGCTCGCGAGAAAGGCGCTTCATGCGCTGCTCTTCATCGTATGGGATGTCTATTATGACGAAAGTAGGAATGCTGGCTTTGGTGGACTCGACGAGCTGGGTGATCTTCTGTAAGCATGCTCTGCCGGTGCTGCAGATGTGGACTGCGAAGTGGGTTAGCAGATGTGTGAGCGCAGGAAGAGGACGGACTACCTTCGCTGGAAATGGACAGCATCGCCTCGACATTGTCGTGCACTTCGCGCGGCGACGTCTTGCCGATAGCAAAGTAGCTCTGTCCTACATTGCCAGTCGTGGTTCGCGCGACGAGCGACTTGGACAGCGTCTCCTTCCGCACGTGCTCGTCGTTGGCCCGCCGGTCAATGTAGACAACATTGCACGCGCCATGTTCCATTGTCTCCGCCTATGTGCGGCGACCAGACAGCACTGGTCTCCAGCGCAGAGGGGAGGTTGTTGGGGAGGTGTCGCAAAATGGGGAGGACGGGTGGCCGCAGTGAGACGTCTGAACGGGTCGGACAGCGTCACGGGAGAGTGCGAGGCGGAAGCGTGGTGGATGGGGTGCAGCCGAGGGCCAATTGGCGGTCGTGAGCGCAGTGGCAGTGGACACAGGAGAGCAGCGGACAGAGTCGAGCGTCCAGAAGCGTGGGGGAGCGCAGAGATGGGACGGCGGGAGTGCGCCGGTTGGTCTGAGATGCACTCTGAAACGACGACGTCGGTGGAAGCCCCAGGGAACCCGGCGAGGCGGCGAGCGGCAGCCAGTGCACACGACACTAGAGTGCAGTGTTTATTGTATACGAGGAAAGCGCAACGGGTGGATGCGACGAGGAAGGCGGGAAGCGACGTGGGAGGGCAGGCGCGACGGCGGGCGGGTGCTGGGCGCGGCTGCCTCTTGGTGTCTCTCACTCGGCGCGCGCGCAACGGGACGTGTCGAGACTCGAGCAGCGCAGCGGGCGTCCTCAGGCGATGGCTCGCAGCGTGTTTGGGGAGCGTCTTGAGCGTCTTCAGGGCGCGGGTGAGGGTTGTAGATGCATGCAGGGGCTCTAGCGGTCCTCGGTGTGTCGCATGAGCGGCACTGCTATGGGCTGCACGCTGAGCAGCATCGGGCGCACACGGTCGAGGGCAGTGAGGGCGTGGACGAGACGGGCAGAAGTCGGCTATAGGAATCGAGAGTGGTGTGGTGGAGGAGAGCAGCGGGCCTGGTCTGGCTGATTGGATCTGGGATACTCGACAAAAAGAGGCAGGCGCA